CTCAGGCAATCCACTCACCTCAGCCTCCCAAAGGCGCGGGATTACAGGCTGAGCCACCGAGCCCGGCTCCTTTTTATTTTTAAATCACAGTCTCAGTCTGTCATCCAGGCAGCCTCAACCTCCTGAACTCAAGCGATCCTTCCACCTCAGTCTCCCAAGTAGCTGGGGATTACAGGTGCATGCCACCATGCCTGGCTAATTTTTATATTTTTTGTAGAGATGAGCTCTCACCATAGGGCCTAGGCTGATCTTGAACTCCTGGACTCAAGCAATCCTCCCGCTTTAGCCTCCCGAAATGCTGGGATTATCAGGCATGAGCCACTACACCCAGCCCTAATTTCATATTTGACCTAATATGGCTCTCTCCTTTGCATTTCCACTCCAGTCGTTCTGAGCTCCTTGCCACTTGGTGAACACATTTCAACCTTGGGGCCTTTGCACTGACTGATCCCTCTGCCCGAAATGTACCTTCCCCAGGTAGGTCCCTGGCTCTTCCCTGACCTCCTTCAAGCATTTGCTAAAATATTCCCTTTACAAGAGGTCAACCCACCCCACCCCTGCTACTCACTCCTACCTTCCTCTGAATCGCCCAGATCTCTCCCCTCCTTCTGACATGTTATTTACTTCATGTGTTTATTATATATAGTAGGCAGACTCGATAAATATTTGTCAAATCAGAGAGCAGGGCACTAACCATGTGTCAGTCTCATTTAGGGGAAGGAGCCATGAACAAAACAGAAGCTTCTACTGTCCTGAACTTCTAACCGGAAGACACGGGCCACAAGATAAATGTGTGCCATAGCTGTATTGCTATGAAGAGGCGTAAGTCACAGCGGGGAGACGCGTGGGACAGGGGGTCAGGGAAGGCATGGCTTCAGACAGGGCAGTCGGGAGGCCTCTGGGAGAGGGCCGTGTGCGCAGGACCTGGGGGAACGGGCAGCGGCGTGCTTAGCGGTCACTGAGCTGTCGAGGACCCAGCAAGGGAGGCCAGGAGGAGTGTCCTGTGGAGCAGGAGGAGGACAGAGTCCAGCAGAGGGCAAATGAAGTAGTGACGAGGCCACAATGGCAGGGCTGTGCTGCCAACAGGCTGGGAAACATCTGAAAGGGCCAGGGTGGGCGGCGGGGCAGTCATGGGAGGCCTCGACGGGCGCTTCGGGGTGTGGCAGGCAACTCCCTAGTCACCTGCTGCTCTCCATGATGGAGGTGGTGGGACTACTGAAGGCTCCTTAACTCATTCGAAAGGTGTGCCTGAGCACCCACCATGCGCCAACACGGCTGTCTGTCAGGAAGGACACAGCGGGACAAAGAGGAGAGAGCCTGGCCCTCGAGAGCCTGACATCCAGGAGAAGCCGCTTCCGTCCCGGTAAGAAAGCAAAGCATAGCCGGGCATAGTGGCTCACGCCTGTCATCCTAGCACTTTGGGAGGTGGAAGCAAGAGGACTGCCTGATCCAGGAGCTTGAGACTAGCCCGGGCAATTTGGTGAGACTCGTCTCTACAATAAATCAAATAATTAACCGGGTGTGGTGGCGCACCTGTTGTTCCAGTTACTTGGAAAACTGGGGCAAGCTGGGCTCAGTGGCTTAGCCTGTAATCCCGTGCCTAGGGAGGCTGAGGTGAGTGGATTGCCTGAGCCCGCGGGTTCGAGACCCACCTGGGCAACTTGGCGAGCCCTCATCTCTACAATAAATCAAAAAATTAGCCGGGTGTGGTAGCACGCACCTGTTGTTCCAGCTCCTTGGAAGGCTGAGGCAGAAGGATCGCCGGATCCCAGGAGGTCGAGGCTGCGGTGGCCGGGAGCAGCCACTGCACTCCAGTCTGGGCGACAGAGTGAGACTCCAACTCAAAAAAAAAAAAAAGAAAACTGGGGCAGAAGGATCACCTGAGCCCAAGAAGTCGAGGCTGAAGTGGCCATGAGTGTGCCACTGCACTCCAGCCGGGGCCATAGAGTGAGACTCTGACTCAAAAAAAAAAAAAAAAAAATGGGAAGGGGAAAGAAAAAGGGAAAAAGCATTGTAAAGACAATGATTGGAAGCTTCCAGAGCCGAGGAGACGTGGAGGAGGAGGAACAAGGATCCCACTGGCCTCTGACCTCTGACCTATGCCTCAGTGAATCGACTGCCCTCTCCCTGTCCATCTGTCTCTCTCTCCCATAATTCAACCTGCAGGCACCCAATTTTGGCCTAAATGCCCCCAAATAAGTGCATAAGTTAGTACCAATGTGTAATTTCAGTAATCATTAAAATAGTAACTAAAAAATTATAGAAACCTGAAAATATGACATAAAAGGATTAGAATATCAGATAATTACTACTGTGTTTTTTTTTGTTTTTGTTTTTTAAAGATATGTATCCCACCTGAGCAACACAGCGAGAACCTCATCTCTATAAAAAATTAAAAAATTAGCCAGGCATGGTGGTCCCAGGCTAATTTGTAGTCCCAATGACTCGGGAGACTGAGACGAGAGGATCATCTGAACCTAGGAGGTCAAGGCTGCAGTGAATCATGATAGGGCCGCTGCACTCCAGTCTGGGCAACAGAGTGAGACCCTGACTCAAAAAAACAAACAGACCAAAAAAATTTTAAAAACCCAACATATGTGAATAAGCACTGGTGTGTAATTTTAGAAAACTGAAAACAGTTGTATTTGGGTAAAAGGTTGTTTTTTTTTTTCTTAAAATGTTGACTTATGTATATGTCTGTCTATGTGTTACGTGTATATGTGTGGAAAGCACTCATGAAATGAGTCTTGCCATAAGGTAGAAGGACTCAGGCTGAGACCTGGGACCTCTGATGACCCGTGACGACAGCTTGTGGGCAGGGTCGGGGCGAATGCCTCCCTACTCCCGTCCGCAGAGGAATGTTCGCAAGTTGTATCATTCTCGGGTGACTCAGGGCTACTTCTGACAGTTATTAGCAATGGTTTTACAGCATGGCCTAATTAAGTTACTACTAAAGGCTTAAGCGTAAAAGAAAATTAGCCTCTTTCCTTCAACAGACCATCAATG